AACTTAGCAAGACTCCTGTCTCAAAAAAAAAAGCCTAGGGATGCAGCTCAGTGTAAAGGCCCTGGGTTCAATCCCCAGTACTGCAAAACAAACGCCAGAGTTGCCTGAGCTGTGAGTAGACAGGCACACACATACATACATGTAAATAAGTATGTGCATTTTTAACATACAGAATACATACACAAGAATCTTTCAAAAACATTTAAGCCTCAGATAGTGGAATGTCAAAGAAGGAAAACATCTTTTAGGTTTATCATGTCCAGATGCTTTTCTCAAATGAAGAAGGAAAGCCGAGTCCAGAGAGGCGCAGGTCAAGGCCACACAGCTCCAGAGGCACAGCTGCATGGGGTAACAGGAGACTTCTACCTGTGGTGTCGCAGGCCCTTAACATTGTTCACAAACAGCTTCCACAGCTGTTTTGATTCTTGCCAAAGCCTGAGGTTTTTCACAGGTGAGAAAACAGGTTCAAAGTGTTTGGCAGATCTGCTTCAATCACCTAAGTACTCACCCCAGTCCTGAGTGCCACACCCCTCCCACCACGTGGCACAGCCCCCAGAACCTTCATGATGGCCCAGGCCATAGGGCTCCAACATTGATTTCAATCTGCCAAGGCAGGCACTCAAAAATAAATGCTGTGAGGATGTAGCCCAGTGGTAGAGCACTTGCCTAGCGCATATAAGGACCTTCGTTCAATTATTCGATCCCCAGCTCAAAAAAAAAACAAAAAAAGAAGGCAGGTGAAGAGCGATGATTAATCAATAGGTAAATGCCAGCCCCTAGGAGAAAACTAATCAATTATGGTTGATGGAGAAGCTAGAGAAGACTCTGAGGGATGATAATGTTGCTGTGAAAAGCCACATGGATGACACTGTAGAACCGTACAGAGGAGCCACGGATCCCTGTCCCCTGCAGGTCTATAGAAGCTTCACTTCCATCTGGCATAGTCACCTAACACCCCATTCCAGTCTCTTCCCAAAACTCCTCAGCCACTGTCCCAGGAATCTGTCCAGGACATCCTGTGGCCTGCAATGCCAAAATTCAGGTTCTTCCCATTTTTTAAGGTGAACAACCCCAGATGTTGTGTGCCACTTGTTTGTTCTGGCCTTTGCTGGACATACTCCTCTCTACCCCTATCCTAGCAGCATCTCCATTTTTTTTTTTTTTAATCCATATCCTTTGTGGTAAGGCCTAGACTTGGCTCATCTTGGCAGTCAGTGAATCCTCTTCCATAAAAAGGGAGTCAGCTGGCTGCTGTTTTGTTTTTAATGAAAGTAGGCTCAGTCAGGTGTGGTGACACACACCTGTAATCTCAGGCCTCAAGAAGCAGAGGCAGGAGGCTCACTGAGTTTGAAGCCAGCCTGAACATATTGAGACCTGCTTTCAAACAAAAAATAAACTCATATCACATTCATTTGCACCTATGTGCACCAGTAATTCTAGAAAGAGTACCACTGGTGCAATGCCCCACAGCAGATAACCTAGGCAATGAGGTCTGGCTTACACACCATTTCTGTCTCTCTCCCTTTGCCCCAAATGTTCCCCAGAGGTCAGTACCCCAGACTGCTTATCAGGCAGGTCTCTTCTCTCAGGGACAGATTCTTTATTATGTGGTGAAAAAAGGAGAGGGATTTCTTGCACAAATATATTTGTGAAAGAGTGATGTTAGGGATCAAACCCAGAGTCTCATGCATGCTAGACAAGCACCCTACTGTTGATCTACAGCCACAGCCTGTAGGTTTTTTGTTTAATTTAGAAAAAAAGCATATCCAAATTGAATGAGAAGCCAAGTACCGTGGCACACATCTGTAATCTCAGCACTTGGGAAGCTGAGGCAGGTGGAATGCTGCAAGTTTGAAAGCTAGGATGACTATATGTAGTTTGTACCATGTCTTACAAAATAAAAAAAAGACAAAAAAAAAAAAAGTGAAGGGCACTGGGGATTTAGCTCAGCGGTACAAGCGCCTGCCTTGCAAGCAGGCAGTCGTGAGTTTGATCCCCAGTACCAATAAAAAGGAAAAAGACAAAAAAAAAAAAAAAAAAGAAAAGAAAAACAAATGAGAGGGCCCAGGGATGTAGCTCAGCAGCACAGCACCTGCCTGGCAAGTGCAAGGCCCAGAGTTTTTTGTTTTTTTTTTTTCTGGTACCAGGGATTGAACTCACGGGCCGCCTGCTTGCAAGGCAGGTACTTATGCCACTGAGCTAAATCCCCAGCCCCCAAGGCCCAGAGTTTGATTCATGATACCACACACACACACACACACACACACACACACACACACAAATTAAGAGAACCTGGAGCAGTGGCAAACACCAGTAGTCCCACCTATTCAGGAAGCTGAAACAGAAATCACTTGAGCCCTAGTGTTAGAGACCAGTCTGCAACATGAGAGCCCCTTGCCTCGCCCAGACAAAAGAGTGGAGGGAAAAAGATGAAAAATTAATAATAACTTAAATCACTGGCCACGGTGGCTCATACCTGCAGTCCTTGCTGCTCACTTAGAGACTAAGGGAAGGAGGATCAACTGAACTCAGAAATTCAAAGGCAGTCTGAACTGCATCTCAAAAACAAAAACAACAGATCAGTTGGCAAAAGTTTTTCCATGAAAGTAGTCCTCAAGTAGCCCCCAAGTCCCTTATGGTTGAACACAGTAAACTGTCAGTATACCTGGGCCAGCCCTACCCCACTTTGCAGGCACAGATTCATCCCATTACTAGAGCCCTGTGTCGGGGAGCCCTTTGTGGGGTGACGCCAGAGTTGCTGTAGCCAGACAGCTCCCACTGAGCAGTAGTTAGTTACAATTTTCCAGAATAATCTCATATAAGCATTTATCTTTGTGATGCAACTCATTTCTCAAACTATAGCCCTAAAAGTAGAACTACCGACTAAAAATATGCATACATTTTAAATTCTGATACTTAACTAGCTGAGCAATGTGACAAGATCATTCTCAAAATCTGAGATTTAGGGGTAAATGACAGTGTGAAATCCAGACACACATGGCCAGCCTCCTTCACCTCCCATCCCACATCCTCCACCTGTGGAGTGGGGAAGGGCTCCAAGATTTAGTCACTTCCATTCCCCACTTGGAAGGGACTTGGGAAGACTAGCCTAGGGGTCTGCCAATGGTGGGATTTGTGGAGTTTCTGGGCTCTAACCAGATCCCCAGTAAGTCCCCCAAAATGGCAGTCTGGCTTTCAGCACAGTGGCGCAACACCCATCCTGGTTCCTTCAGCACCCAGAGACAGTTACAACTCTTGCTTGTTTGGTGATGCCCCTAGTTTCCTGAAGGCCCTTGTCCCATGCATATGATGCCTCAGTAACCACAGCCCAGTTGGTTCTATCTTTCTTACCTAGTACTGCCCAGGCCTCCTTGTTCTCTCAGTCGGCTGTGCTCCCAGTACGACTTGCCCAAGAAATTCAGTTTGCTACCCTGGACCTCAGTTTCCCCACCTGTGCAATGCAGAGCATCTGGTAGTATCACTGACATTTTGGATGGACAGGATTGTGCTCAACTTGTAAAGAAGGCTGGCTTATTGGGGAGTTCAGGCGAACCTTAGGTCATTTAATCAACACCCTGATTGGTTAGTTCGTTTGGGGGAAAAAATTGGTTTTTGTCCCCATAGTTCTCAGCTGCTGAAGTGCAATTAAAACCAAAAGCTAAAGCTGACCAAGAGGACACAGCACACACCTATGTTCCCAAAACTGGATTACAAGGGGCTGAGGATGGAGAATCTAGAGTTCAAGGCCAGCCTGGGCTACATAGCAAAACTGTCTCAAAAACATAGCAAAAAGGCCAAAGCTGAACTGAGAGGCTGAGGTAGAAGGCTCACTCGAGCTCAGAAGTTCAAGGCCATCTTAGGCAACATAAGACCTGGCATTTAGCAACAAAATAATCAAGCATTAAAGAAAGAGCTGGGTATGGTGGTGCTGACATAATTCTAGCATTTGGGAGGCTGAAGTAGAGGACTGTCAAGAAAGAGTTCAAGGCCAGTCTTGATTATATGGTGAGACTCTGTCTCAAAACAAACAAAAAGAGACCATAAGTTATATTCAAGGCTTTTTTTTCCAAACATAAGACCCCAGCTATCTGAGCCTAGAAGAGGTAACAGGGCTAGAAAGGCCTTCCTAGGAAGGTCTGAGTTTTGCTGTGCCGGCTAGGGGATCCGTTGCCAGGTAATTCATAGAGCAGAGCAGAGAGAAGGACGTGCAGGCGGGCAGCAGGAGGCCAAGGAAAACCTGGACCTGGGCTTAGTGGGTAAAGAAAAAAGAAAAACCTGCCAGGATCGCTACGAGCTCCCAACTGCTTCCGTCCAGGACCAGCCAGCAAAGAGAAGGCTTGGCCTCCACTGTCAGACGCACCTGGACAGATGACACTGGCGGACTGACAAAAACAAATACACAGCCTTTCTGCGGCTCCCGCGTAAACCGGCACCTACCAGATAACCAGAGCGCTGCACGGGATGATGCCCACGAAGCGCGGGCACAGCCTGGCTGCGTCATCAACGCTCCCTAAGCGCTGCCAGTTAGCACCCCCGACCGCCCCTCGAGTGCGTGACTGGGATACCTGCTTGGGGTTTTGTCGGAGATGGCCTTCTTCCCGACTCCATGGGCCCTGGACAGAAGAGCCATCGCATCCTGAACTGTCCCTTACCACCTGGAGGTTAAGTCTCAGGACTAAGTGTCCCTCAGTTTCCCCAAGCTACGGGAGCCATCCCAGCTTCGGCCCAGGAGAGCGGCTGGCAGCAAATCTACTACCGCCGAGTCAGGCACTATCGCGCTCCCTCCGCCACGCCCCACCCCATCAACAGGCACACAGTAGGCGCTCCGGAAACGCCCTCGGAGAGGAGGAGCGGGCCACTTCCTGCCCCCAAGCGGACTGCGCGAGCACAGGTCCCCCAGCTCGCCGCTTGAGGCCATGTGGCATTCCTGAGGGGGGTGGGCGCAGGAAGGAGGTGCCGGCCCCGCCCCTCCCTCGGTGGGCGGGGCCAAGTCCCCAGCGCCGCCGGCCCTCCCCGCGGGGGGTGGGCGTAGCTGGCCGCGCTCGACTCAAAGTTTGTTTTCTGCCTCCAGGCGGTGGGGGAGGGCGAGGCGCGCGCTGAGGGGAGGAGAGGGGATCTGACGTCAGGCCGCGAGGTGCTTTCCAGCCGCGAGCTGTCAGGCGGGTGTCAGGCTCGGCAGGTACGCGGCGCGCGCCCCCAGCGTCCCCCGCCCCCGGCCTGGACGCCCCGCACCCCGCCCGAGGCCGCGTGGGCCCGAAAGCCGCCGGGAGAAGTCAGTGCGGGACTCCGGAGGGGCGGAGATGGGGGTGGGGGCGCGCGGACAACTTGGAAAGTTTCTTTTTCGCGACCCGGCGGGGGAGGGGGCGTCGTCCAGGCGCGTGCGATGGTGGGTGTGTGAACTCCGTTGTGTCTGTGAGCCCCGACTGCGGAGTGTCGGCGAGGGGGCCTCGCCAGCCCCCCCGGAGGAAGCTCGCTCGGGGCCCTTTTGGGGGGCCCAGTTCCCTAGGATCCTACCCTGGGAGAGGGCCGCCAGTGCCCAGGACAGGGGCGAGCGCGCGGGGGGCGGGTTTGTTTGGTTTCAAAAGTGCACGTTGCTAACCGCCGGCTGGGCCCCCCCGCGGCCGAACCGGGGAGGGGGCCGCACAAAGTGACAGCTGGGGGTGGGGGCCGCGGGAAGGGCCGGGAAAGGGGAGGGCTGGGGAGCCCGCGCGAGTTCCCCTTTCCTTTGGAACAAAGGAAAGTCTGTCTCCGAGGCATCTGTCACTCCTGGGCGGGCCAAGGCGGTGGGGCGCGTGGGGCCGGCGACCCGAAGAAAGTTTGTGCGGCGGGGACCCTCGAGCCGGACAAGAGAGAGCAAAGCCTACGGCGGGGGAGGCGTGCGGTCCCGGGGGCTGGGGGCGGCCAACATGGAGTCTGGGCGCAGGACTGGGGGGGCGGTGCGGAGGTGGGAGCCCAGCCCCCTCCTCTCCCCTCCCCCTCCGGGCCGAGTTGGGAGCACAAAGCCGAGCGCGCACGCTCCGCCGGCCCCGCGCCCCGAAGAGTCAGTCTGCTCAGAACAGCAGGGAAAGGGGGTGGGACCCAAACTTTTTCCTGCCCCGGGACAGACACGTGAGTTTTCTTTCTTCCAGAGCCTTCGCTTCCCCGAGATTGCAGGCTGACTGGGAAGCTGCCGCGCGCTTTCTGACCCTGGGTGGTGGGCCGGGGTGCTGGCGCCCCGAACGCCGGCTGACCCTTCGCCGCCCGGGGAGCCATGTGCTTCACTTGGTCTGGGCCGCGGGGGAGGCTGCGCGCTTTGTGTGAACTGTTGGGAATGCTAGCGCCAGTGCGCAGCCCGGGGGAGTGCCCGCCGAGCCAGGACAGTTGTCAGAAAGTTCCTGCGGGAGTGGCTGCAGGTGGTGCCGCGGGAGTGTGTGGGAGAATACGCGGGGCGTTGTGTCGGAGGATTGCTGCCACAGAACTGATGGCCGGTGTGATGACGTCCGGCACTTCCCCTTTCAGGGAGATAGTAGGTGGGCAGGTCGGTTGGAGTTCGTGGGTGGGCAGATGCAGTAGTTGGCCTAGTTGTATGGGTCCCAGTTGTCGGTACTGGGCATGCGGTTCTAAGCAGTTTTTTGTGTCTGGTCCCTGGAAATCACGGAGTCGAGGCAAGTTATCTGTGCGCTGTTAAAATTACTTGGCATGAGGATGTGCCAGTATTGGGGTGTATGTATGGGAAACCTGCCTGACTACAGTCAGGTCTGGGGTGCAGGTCACCGAGATAAAATTTTATGGACTGAGAGGTCATCCCCAGGGCCCACCCCTGGAACCCTGCAGACTGACTTCTAGCTGGCAGCCAGGGTGGAATTTGTACAGATAACCTTGAGTAAACTGAAGACTTCCAGGGCTCATCCCTGAGCCCAGATCCTAACAGCCCTGGTGGCTCTTAATGTATGACCTTAGAATGCAGCCTGCTGGTGGAGCCCTCTGAGGAGTGGCGCCTCTAAGCTGTGCCTGCCTCACCTCCAGGTGGCCTGGCTGACGGTAGACCCTTCCCTCGAAAGCCTGGCCTAACCGGCCTAGAGATCTGGGATCAGGCCCAAGTCGAGGAAACAAAACCTGGGAGATGCCAGAGTCTGTTGGCCCGGCCTGCTGGGGAGCTGTTAAAAGGCTGAGAAGGGAGGAGCCTTGGATTCTGGCATCAGCTAGGCCTGGAATTTTTGCTTTTAAAATGTAAATTTCTTTGCTGGTGTGTATGAGAACTTTAGGGAATGAGCAGCTGAGTTGGCATATCTAGGGAAAAAAACGTTCCTTCATTTGATGGGTGAGGGAGGACCTTTACCCAGGGGTCATAACGACCAAGGGGAGGGCGCGGCAGGGACCAGAGCCCAGTCTTGCCTGCTCTCTGAATTTTGAGAGGTTGAGTCTGGGATCAGGCTGTGAAGGAGAAGGTCTAAGAAGTAACCAGTAGGAATGACTCACTGCTCTTTCCCGCAGGGTACACAGTTGATGCTCAGCAAATATTACATGGGTTGCTGAAGGCCGTGGTGATTATAGTTTCCAGACTCTTCTTGGGCCTCAGACACGTGGGAGGCAGGATAATGTAGAGCCCACAAGGTGTGTGAGGGGAGGCAAGTTACCTGAACCCAAATCCTACTTTGATAACTTATCCTGGAGGTGGGATCTTTTTAAAATAATTTTACTGTGGTTTAACTCACACCATAAAACTTGCCCATTTAAAGTATGTACGTCGGGGCTGGGGATGTAGCTCTGGTAGAGTGCTTGCTTAGCATGCACAAGGCCCAGAGTTCAGTTCCCAGTACCACTAAATAAATAAAAAGTAAAATATACATATCAGTGGTTTTGGTATATTTACGACTGTATAACCATCACTACAGTCAAGTTAGGAGTTTTGTATGTGTGGTACTGGGGACTGACCAGGGACTTTCAAAGTAAGCTCTCTACCACTGAGCTAGCTATACTTGTATTTTGGGTTTGTTTTTTTTTTTTTAAGACAGTCTCACTATTTAGTACTGACTGGCCTTGGACTAGTAAGTATCCTCCTAAGTATCCTCAGTGCTGGGATTATAGGCCTATTACGGCACCTGGCCTTTACTTCTTTTTTTAACAAATCCATTTTATTCAAAGATAAAAAGAAAAAACTGTAACAAAAACAGGTCAGTGAGCAACAGTGGTACTGACTTTTACTTTTTGGAGGCAGGATCTCCCTAAATTTTTCAGGCTGTTGTCAAATCGGTGACCATCTTGCTTCACTTTTTAATCACTTCAAAAACCCCCATGTATTTCAGCTATCATACTTCTGTGCTTCCCAGTCCTGAATATGTGGACTTGTCCATCATGGTAGCACATACCTGTGATCCCATCACTAGGGAGGCTGAGGCAGAAAGACTGCTGCAAGTTTAAAGCCAACCTGGGCTAGATAGTGAGATTCTCCAAAAAACAAAAAATGTAGTCTTTTGTGACTGACTTGGCATAATGTTATCAAGGTCCATCCATGTTGTAGCAGATTTTAAGACTCACCTCTTTTTATAGCTAAACAATAGTCCCTCGTGTAGATAGATCAGATTTTGCTTTTCTAATTACCTGTTGATGGATACTTGATTGGTTCTACCATTTGGCTATCACAAATAATGCTGAGCATTTGTGTTCAAAGTCTTGTGTACACCCAGTTTTATATTTCTGTGGGGTAGATAGGAGTGAAATCATTGGGTCACTTGGTAACTTCATGTTAACTGTAACAGTCCCTTTGTTGGCTTTCTTAATCTAGTTTGCTCATCAGTAAAATAATAATTTCCCCCTCACAGGAGTTTGTGAAAATTAAATGAGGTGATAGATGTGAAGCTTCTGTAGATAGTAAAGAACATGGAAAACAATAGACCTTAGTGGTAGCTGTAATTATTTCTAGTCCTGTTCCACCTGTTTATTTCAGTAGTCACTCACCCATGCCATCCATGATAAGGTGACATTTTGGACTTTTCCTTTTAGCTTAGGATATTGTATATAGCCCAAGCCTTTGAACTGCAACTCCTGCATTTCTGGTGTCCCAGCCTGTAGTACTGTTTGGAGACAAGGAACAGGGTGAGAGGCAGAGCATCATAATGACATGCCTCTCCCATGTCTTTGTCCCAGGCTCACTGGAGGTCCAGCCTTGCCCCTAGGGACCATGTCTGACAGCGATCTAGGTGAAGATGAAGGTCTCCTGTCCCTGGCGGGCAAGAGGAAGCGCAGGGGGAACCTGCCCAAGGAGTCAGTGAAGATCCTCCGTGACTGGCTATACTTGCATCGCTACAACGCCTATCCCTCAGAGCAGGAGAAACTGAGCCTTTCTGGACAAACCAACCTCTCAGTGCTGCAGGTAAGTGGGGAACCTGGGCTATAGGCCCATCTCAGCTTTATCACTCACACAGTATGGCCTTGGGCCAGTCACCTCCCCCTGTTGGGCCTTAGTTCCTTCTTGGATCAAGTAAGAACACTTACTCTTTTGCCTCAAGAGACAAGGAAATAAGGTCATTACAGGTAGATTTCACTCTTGGGAGAATTCTGGAGAGGGCTTCATAGTGAGTTAAGAGCCCAGCCTGAACTGCATAGCAAAAAATAAAGGGGGCTGGGGATTTAGCTCAGCGGCATAAGTGCCTGCCTTGCAAGCAGGCAGTCGTGAGTTCGATCCCTAGTACCGATAAAGGGGGGGGGGCAGAAATCAGAGATCATGATTAGAAGATATGACTAGGTTACCCTAGCTCCCTCATAGTGTCTGTGAGCCCTGTCTTATGCTACCCATATATAAAGTGAAGGTTGGAGTTCTCTTCTGCTGGAAAGAACTGTTGTGAAGAATAGTTTCAGAACTGGAATCTATACAAGGTGTCAGCGAGACACATGACCCATGCCAGGAATCCTAAATACATAGGCAAGAGGATAGCAGTTTTGAAGCCATCCTGGGCAATTTAGGGAGATGCTGTTCGAAATACAGAAGGCTGGGGATGTAGCCTAGTGTTTGAGTACTCTGGGTTCCACCACAGCACCACAAAACTAAAGTATCTTAGTACAAAGTAGCATCTTACTTGAATTATCCTTGGTGTTGACCTGCAGGTGCCTTTGTTTGGTGCTTCCTGGACTGCCATTGCCTTGTATCCGATTTGGTTGTCATCTCCTTAGGAGACACTCAGCCTAGCACTGGCTCACCCCCTGCCCCACAGGACCCCACTACTCCCTGCATGTACCACCCCAGAGTGTTCCCCAAGCTCCTTCCTGATTTTGCACCTTTGCCCTTTAATGGCTCATTTGGTTCAGCCTATGGGACCGTCATCCCCCTTCTTTGAATACGTTCTACTTCTTGCTCGGCTTCCCATGAAGAGACATGGTAAGTGTTCGGCCCTGGAACTCTATCACTGGCTTTACTCGCTGGGCAGTGGTTAATCTGAGTCCGTCTGCAAGAAAAGGGTCTCCAGTTACAGATCCTGACTCAGATTCCATTCTCTCCCTAAGAGGAAGCCTGGACATCAGCCAGCTCACTGCTGTCTCTCTGAGCCTCGCTATTTCCTCGTGTGAAAATAGAGAGGTGGTTATAACACTTTCCTAGGGTATAGGAAAGAGGGACTGAGAATTCAAAGGTGACTCTGAGGTGTCTGCCAGTGAGTGCTTCTGCTCCTGTTTTCATCCTACTCGTGTGAGTTCAGGAGTCTTGGACTAAGCCCTGGTGCGCCAAGCAGGAAGCCTTTCAGAGTTACCTCCTGGGGGGCTGGGGATTTAGCTCAGCAGCATAAGCACCTGCCTTACAAGCAGGCAGTCGTGAGTTCAATCCCCGGTACCAATAAAAAAGAAAAAGACAAAAAAAAAAAAAATTCAGAGTTACCTCCTGAATACCCCCAATGTACCCAGCTATCTGCCTCGACACCCTGAGGGAGTATCCAGTCCCAGATGGGGATAAAAGGCAGGCTTTGCCACTGGTATTTGCAAAAGTGAGCACTGCAGGGACAGTAGAGGGCATAGACCCAGGCTAGAGCAGGATCTAGGGGCTCAAATAGACCTCCCAGAGGGAGTGGTCTGAAACTTACAGGTTGTCCAATTGCATAAGCAAAAGCCTGGGGCCTGAGAGCCAGGATTTCTAGATAGCTCTTTGCTATTCTGTCTCCAGCTTTTTTCCTTCAATACATCTTTTCTCTCATTTTATTGTTGTTTTGTTTGTTTGTTTTTGGAGACTCTCACTGTGTTGCTCAGGCTGGCCTTAGATTCACAGCAATCCACCTGCCTCCATCTCCTGAGTGTGGAGATTACAGGTGTGCCACCTATAATACCTCTTAGTTATTTAGGTTCTCTCTGACTGGAAGTTCAGGGTGGGGGTCACTGCTGTGCACCTCGTGCTTGTTAAACTACCTGTCACATTGAAATGAAGTTGATTTTTGTCAGACACACAGTTTCTCAAATCTTAGATATGTACCAATTCTTTTAAAACAATTTTTTTCATGGACATAACTCCTTCAGGATGTTAGCTTTGCGGGGGTTGGTTCTTTAAAACAGGGTTTCAGGCTGCCTTTGAACTCATGGCACTCTTGCCACAGCCTCCTGAGTGCTGGGACTGTAGATGTGCACAAGCTATATCCTCAAGATGTTAATTTTTAAAATTTGAGCCCAGTCTAGGAAAGTAAGTAAGTGTTCGGTTTTTTTCAGACAGAGTCTAACTATGTAACCCAAGCTGCCCTCCCTGCCTGGACATTGTATTTGTTTTTCTTCTTTTCTTTTTTCTTTTTGAGACAGCTTTGTAATTCAGGCTGACCTTCAATTCACTGTGTAGCCCAAGCTGGCCTCAGACTCATGGCAATCATCCTGTCTCAGCCTCTTTTTTGGTGGGGGTGGGCAGAAATCACACTCATACCTCATACTTGGTGTGCAGGCGCTTCGCTGTTGAGCTATATCCCTGACCCTGTCTCAACCTCTTGAGTACTGGGACTATAGGTGTGTGCCACCATGCCCAGCATAGCCTGGCCAATTGGAAAGACTCAAACTGGGTGTGGGAGAGGAGAATGGCTTCAAGTTCAAGGCCAGCCTGAACTGTGTAATGAAGCCCTATTTCAGAAAGATCAAAAAAAGAAAAAGACTAAATGTGAAGATGCTGGATCCAATTCCAATACTACCACCCCCCGCCCAAAAAAAAGATGTTAACTTTATTGTATCATTCAAAACTGGATAAAAATTTTTATTTTTGTTTTTATATGTAACTGTAAAGTCAAACAATGTTCTGAAGAGGGTAGGTGTAGAAATACTGAACTTCTGCCTTATACATTAAATGTCAGATGGCATTTTGCTGCCTATGCTAGGTATAGTAGGACAAAGGTGATGACCCTGGAAGAGATTCCCTGCAGGAGTCTGATTCCTACAGCCACAGTGCTTTTACTGTGATCAGAATGAAACACAAAGCCAAAGCATCCTTGTAGAGAACTAGTGGACCCCTGAGGGTGGCAGATCCACTTGGAGAAATCGTAAGTGTAGGGAAGTATCTCAGTGGTGACCACCTTGCTCTAGAGTCCTGCTGAAGGTCAGAGGCAGTGGGGACCCTCTGCCCTCCCTGAGGATACTACTGTCTCCCACATGAGCCTCAGGTACCTGAGACTGCCTAACTGGTCACAATAGTAACTCTTCCAGCTGGCTTCCCTTTCAGAGGGGCTCCTCTCCATAGTGCCTTCCTAGGGGATCACCCGTCTCTGTGCATATTTTCCTTAAATATTTCTGGACTGTAGCAACTTTCCAGTGCTCCTCCATGCCACTGCCACTTTGTGACTTCAAGACCTTGAGGGCCACCCTAGTCACCTTGCCTGTGCTTGTCTGCATGTCGGCCTCATCCCTTGCTACCCACACTCCTGCTGCACACACTACACTGATGGCTGCCTTTGGTTGCTTTCCTCCTACCTCTGACGGGGATACTCTGGATTCCTGGGGGAGCTGTATCTTCTCACAGCACCTGGACTGGGTCGCAGCACAGGGTGGGGGTGAGAGTATATGTGTGATGTACTTGATTAATTATATGTTTTTATTTTTTTGCAGCAGGGCCTCAGCACTGAGCTACATCCTGAGTTGTCAGGGTTGTTTTGTTTTGTTTTTTTTAAGACAGGATCTAAGTTGCTCAGGCTAGGCTTGAATTCATGATCTTCCTGCTTGAACTTCCCAGACTGCTGCTGATATTACAGGCATGCACTACCACACCTAGCTAGCTACTGGTTGCTTTTAAGATGGCATTGAAGGGGCTGGGGATTTAGCTCAGCAGCATAAGGGCCTGCCTTGCAAATTCGATCCCTGGTACTGATAAAAAAAAATTTTTTAAATTAGTAAAAAGATGGCATTGAATTCTGGAGGTGTGAAGTGTAGAGACCTAGTTCTATTACTATAGCCTCAGTGTTAGTTCACTGCTTGCACCTGATACATAAGGTTCAGTAATTAAATGGTTGAAATGATAGGAAATGAGTGTGGTTGGAAATGCCAAAAAAAAAACCCTGGAGGCTCCTCAGTTAAGAAAATTGATTTCGTTTCCTTGTTGCATCTCCTTTTCTTGCATTTCCTTTTTTTGGTTTTTTTAAGACAGAGTTTCACTACTTAGGTCAAGGCTAGCCTCAAACTCACAGCATCCTCTTGCCTCAGCCTCCTGGACATGCTTCCTATATTTACTTTTGAATTACTTCTTTGTTTTTATTTGTTTGTTTTTGAGACAGGGTCTATGAAGTTCAGGCTGGCCTTGAGCTCACTTTGTAGCCCAGGCTGGTCTCGAACTTGCAACAATCTTTCTGCCTTAGCCTCCCAAGTGCTGGGATTACAGGCATGAGCCACCACGTCTAGCTTCTTCTGTATTTACTTTTTAAAGTTTTGTTCTGAAATATCCAGAGAGATAAGAGAATATTACAGTGACTCCTCGATTCCTCTGGCTTTCAGGTATCCACATTTTGCAAAGCCTGTTTCAGCTTTCCCTGGGGGCAAACCTTTTGATTGTCTCTTTTAGCAGGCCCAGAAGCTATCTCATTAGCAAGACAGTGAGTCATTTAACCAATGGATTTGCTGGTACTTGCCCAGATCGAGGCAGCTGGGAGAGTAAGACCAAAAATAAAAAATAAAAATAAAAAACCTGTGAAAAATTTTCACAGGTCCTTGGGACACCCTCTAAGCCCAGTTTATTGGTTGGATTCCATCTGTGGTTTCTAGTCCACTGAGCTGCCTGCCTGGGAGGGTTCTGGGCCACATTTCTGCACTCTAGCATTCACCCAGCTTGACCGCTTGCCTTGTCCAGTGTCTGTGCTGGGAACAGTGGTAAATAGACCACTGTTGAGTGCTTCTGGTGGCAGGAGCTGCCACCAGAGAAGGGGTCTAGAGTGAGAC